TAGTTATATTAACAAATTTTTAAAATTAAAGAACATTTGATACTCAAAATTAACTATTAAAATTTTGTAAATCTGAATTATAAATTATACACTCTCTCCACACTTATGCCTAAACAGACCATAAGTACTGTCAGTATAAGTACTGTCAGTGATTGCGCTGATGAAGGGTGGAGACAATTACTGCCGAAACAATAATTGCAATTTTGTCCGCAAATAATACCGAAGACAATGATCGGTCAAATTGTGTCACAAATTGTAAGTTAAAAAGAAAAATTTTATTGTTATTAATATATTTTTATTTTTGCTTTATTAGTGTAATCTATTATATTTTAATTATTTTAAATGTTTAATTGTATATTACCAGTTAATTATTATATTTTAATTATGAAAATATCATAAATATATTACGTACTCTATTATCAAGCAGTATTTTTAAAAATAAAATTAATAAAGTTATTTAATATAAATATATATTAAGCAAAGATAATTGTACAATTTTTTGCTATAATGAATTAAGTATTATTGAGTCATATATAAATATAGTGTGGGTCTGGAGGGTTAATGATTGATACAAAAGAGGTCTGGTGGGTCAGATATGGATATTGTGGGCATCTGGCGGGGCAAATATTGATATAATGGTGGTCTGATGGGTCAAATATAACTATAGTGGGAGTCTGGCGGTCTGACGGTCTGGCGGGTCTGACTTTTAATTAACCACTTATATCCTGAAGCAATATTTAAAGCCATATGATTGCTATTTAAGAAACATTAACACTAATTGGAGATATAATATAATATATTTCAACCCTAAGTAAAACATTTTATTTTAAGTATTATATCATAAATAACAACGAAATACAATAAATATATATATATTTATAATTTAATTATTGTTTTGATCCGTAAGTAAGTCCTGTCGCCACTTATAAAAGCCTTGCCAACCGATACACCAGTTGTAGGGATCGGGATATTTAAAAGTCTCGGAGTTTGCCAACACGTCGGCCGCACCATAAGCCCAGTGGGGGTTATTGAGTAACGCCCTACCGATGAATATAAGGGTCGCACTATTATCCTGCAACAGCTTTTCCGCCTGAAAGGGATGCACTATTTTGCCGACGGTTGCCGTCGGGATACCGGCCTCTCGTTGTATAGTAGCGGCCGCTTTGTGCTGCACTTCTGGCGTATTGAAGGGCCCGTAGTCTACGTTTCCGACGACACCACCGGAACTACAGTCCACGACATCGACGCCGATAGCCTTCAGCCGTTTGGCGAACTCCACACTCTGTGTCACATCCCATCCCCCGTTGCCGTAATCGGTGACCGAAATACGTACTAAAAGTGGGGTCTCTTTAGGGATGACTTTCCGCACTCTCTGTGCCGTCTCTAACCCGAAGCGCATCCGGTTTTCCAGTGAACCGCCGTATCTGTCGGTCCGCGTGTTTGAGAGTGGGGACAGCCATGTGTTGCCCAGGTAGCCGTGGGCGTAGTGCAACTCAATTGCCTGTAATTGATGTTTAAGATTAAATATTATAAAATAATTTACTATCTAGGTAATACTTACATTAAAACTTAATTATAAAATCTTATTTACTTATCTACACATACTTTTAATTTGTATGTGCTTTAATAGCATTACAATTAACTAATATGTTATATTATAATTTATAATTTAATGTATATATTATAAAATAGTTTTGCTAATACTCTTAAAATTGAATATTCATTTTACAAAGTAACAAAATGTAAGCATTTAAAGTTTTAATTGAAACTGTAACAAAATAACTTCACATGGATAAGTTAACCTTACACAAATCAATCTATTTAAATGTCTGACCAAGAGTTAACATTTTAAATGTGTTATAATTAATTATTTAATGTAAATATAAATAGTTTTAACGGAGCTCGCAAGATTTGATATTGATTATTTAAATTTTTAAAAAATTGTATGTATACAACTGTCACAAGATAACTACATATAAATAACCATGACTAATTAACTCGCATTCTAACTTAATGGTACTTGGACCTGTTGAGACAACTTTTAAAATATAATTTTTATTTATAGTAAGTTATATTTATAAGTAAATAAGAATTTTGCAAATAAATAATTAAATTATAGTAAGAAAAAATATAATATGAAAATAGACATC